CCTGTTCTGCAGGCCATGGCTCAAACAGAACCTATAATCTGTAGAATAAGAATGCCTTATAAGCAGAATACCTCTCTATGACCACTAGGTACCTATTATGACCGTGTAAATTTGAAGCTAAGATCCACAAGAAACAATGCTGTGGTTGCTTCCCAGGTCTTTATTTGCACAAAAGCTTCAAAGGAGAACCCAGTAAAGTGAAAACAGAGCTAATGTTTAAATTATCCTGCACCCTAAACTAAGCTTAGGGCTACCCAATATCATATTTCTCCATGACTGGAAGTCTGCCCAAGATAAGCAATTATCTCTATAGGAGTTATTTCTGCCCAATACACATTAATATCTTAATAACTCCGGATAACAATGTCAAGGAAGAACTACAAAACATAACGGCAGTGTTGGCCAGGAGAAAAACAGATTAATAACTCAAGGGCTGATTACCCACAAAATATTGCAGATTGTTAATTCAACAAAATGAACATTGTCCAACCATTCAAATGTAGTTGAAAAATTTACAGAAACCTCCTGCAATCAATACTGGAGCTCATCCAACACAATGCCGTTATAAAATTGCACTGAGCCTTGTCTTGCCCAAAACTTTCCAGACTTATAAAGGAAAGTCTGCAAGGCACTTGGTATAGCACAGAATACCATATATCACAGAGGGCAGTAAGACCATTGGGCCTAACCTCCTGCTGAATGCAGGGCTCCAAGTTAAAGCATCCCTTTCAAAAGGCTGTCCGGTGTGGGACAGCCCACAGCCTCCCTCTGTCATTGATTCCATTGTGCTGCTCAAATGGTTAGGACGTTTCCCCAATTTTCAGCCAGAATCTGATTTCTTGTAACGTCACACATGCCACTTCCTTAGAAATTGTCACAAAATACAAGAAGCGGGGGCTTATTAAAATGCTACCACACCAGAGTTGCGTCATATTTTTTAACAGAGGTCTTCTATGGCATTCTTGCTGACCTTGCTTGTAAGTTTCCTGACAGAATTAGAAGAGGGGAAGGGAGAAAATGGCCTTGTGTTGGAAGAGGCACCTTGCTGAGATAATATATGTCATGATAAAGCACCCCTTTCACCTCCCCAAAGAATGGTAAAAGACCCACTCTGCATTTTATCACACATATAATTCCCTCCTGGGCTTGATTTTTTTTAAATCTATGTATAATTTTGAATGAAACATCTTCAGAACAACCACAAAGTGCAAGGCTTCATGGAGCAGGAAGAGAAGTTTTTAATTAAGCCTCAGGCTAGCATTAAAGAGAAGAAGAACATAATTCAAAAGCAATCTTTGCACCACATTATGAAATGTGGAATCTGCTATTATTATACTTGAAGCCTTTGGAGCATCAGATTTTAATTTTACAGGATACCTCTGATATTATACAGCTCGACCTCTTGCCTGGCTCTTGCCAATTATATTTCCTCCAGTTACTGCTATATCAAGCTTGTTAAAGTCTGTGCTTGGCCAAAGCATGGACTCCACTAGGTCCCACCTTCTCCAAATGAGCACTGCAATGGAGAACATAAGATGTTCAGATCAGAACAGACTTTGCCAACCTGTTTCCCTTAGGGCATTTTGGAACACATCTCCCAGCATTCCTGGGAGATGGCACAAAGCTTGCTGTAGGACATATAGCCTCGGTTCCTCAATTGTCATGGTCATCTGGGGCCATCACAGATTAATGTGCTTTCTGCAAAAAATAGTGTTTTGACTGAGGGGGATACTTTTGTGGTATCATATATCAAGGTATATGATACCAGGTAGACCTAACCTTAGTTTGGAATGCAATATAATTTATAAAGTAGATACATTTACTGTACCGATGGGGGATTCTTTCAAAGTTTCACTCAAATAAGGAACCAAATTCATTATCATCACAAGAAAGTGAAGATGAATTAGGAGAATTATTGACCTTCCCCCACAAAAAGCTCAACATAGATGAGTTGATCCTAAAGGGGAGGGCAATCATTCTACAGGACTGTCCAATCTGCAGGCTCCATCCCTCTACCTAGAGAGAAGACACAATGTTATCTCGGATGGAAGATAAGGAATTATCTCCCCCCCCCCCCGCCGCAGCCATTTGCCAACTCAGTACTGCAAACTCTAACCCAGGGGTCCTCAAACTTTTGGACCAGGGAGCCAGGTGAAAGGTGCTGGTGCTGGGCGTGGGCCGGTGAGGGGGAAGAGGCGGGAGCAACGCGTGCGAGGCGAGGGGAGGGGGGGCAGGCACGTGCCGTGAGGCGGGTGCACGAGGCAGCGGTTTGCTCGCTTGGAGATCGTTTTCTCCGAGCGAGCAAACCGCTGCCTCCCACGCGTGGGGCAAGGTGGGCAGCAGCGGGCGCATGGGCGCATGCGTGGCAGTCCAAATGGGCATGATGGGCTGGATCCGGCCCCCGGGCCATAGTTTGAGGGCCCATGCTCTAACCACTTCCCATTCTATGCAGTTCTCATTTGAGATGCGGGTGGCATGAGGAGACGGGAGTCAGCATTTGCAGAAGTTGGAGCTCCCACAGGAGCCAACCAAGTTACCTTCCCCATTAAGAGGGAGGCATGGAACTCCATGCCTTTCTATCCACTGAGGAGCAAGGAAGCAGGCAGGAAGGTATTGCATGAGATGGACGGGCCTGCCCTCACAACGTCACCCAGCTCCCTGGTTTCATCTGACCCTGCTCTAAAGACAATTATGTTAATTATACAGTTAACATAGACTAAAAACATAGCCTCAAATCAGGCTCAGAAAAGAATTTTGGGAACTTATACGAATCTACCAAAAGGAGGAGGATGAAGAGAAGGGGAAGTAGGGACCTACAAGCCTCCACATTCTTTTCCAGTCCTGATAAAAATCCAAACAGGAAAATAAATACTGATTTCCCCCTCCATCCTCCCCACTAGCCTCACTTTCCCCCAAATGCACTTTCCTTTACTTACCTGGACAATTAATAATGAAAGCAGCAGTAGAAAAAAGGAATAAAAAAGGAAGGAGCTGTTCCTTCCTTATTCTCCTCCCATCTTCTGCTCCTGCTGCCACCCAAGTAAGTTAAAGAGAATCCCTTTGTGAGGTTCAGAAATGACCCAAGATCTTTCTGATATTTTGAGGAACAGCTGTGATCTGCTCATTGTCAATCCAAAGTGAATAAATTGCTGATTGCTAATTCCAGACTGAAACACAGAAGACATTTGGAGATTTCTGGCTCTGAAGCAAGGAAGAAATTTCAACAGGAAGGTGATGAGCCTCTTCTTCAGATCTGGGCAACTGCCTTTCCATAAGAGAGCATGCTACACCCTTGCCTTTTTATTTTCATACCCACAATGAGAAAATATGCCAGGGCCTCAAAGCCCTCTGATGGGGGTGATGAGAACACAGCCACCAGGGGAAACATTTAGGGTCTGTGGCCAAAAGAAAACAGAACCCATGGAATCATAAAGCTCGTACTAGAAAGAAGCAAGAATTCCTCCCCACCCCTTATTTTGATTTGCTCAACTCAGAGAACAGTCAAGCTAAGAGCAACAAGATTGTTTACGGCGAATACAATTTCCTGCTGGAATGTTAAAGAAAAATAGAAAAGAAGTAAGAAAAATAGAAAATTTGATTAATGGATTGTCTGCTAATAAGACTCTGTACTGCGTGATTTTCTTCAATGTCAAGTTGGAAACAATCCAACAGTGCGGGCGCACACACGCGTGCACAACACACAGTTTCCTTCTATTGTGTTTATTTCCAATAAAATCTTGTCAATACCCTGTTAAGTCAAGTGCATGAAATCTGAACAACTGAAGAAATTATCTAGACATGTCAGAAAGCAGGACAAAATAGAATTTTGTTATGATTCTTGAGTACTTAATACGTTTAAATCTATATGTAGTAATCCAAATTAAATGCATTTTGTGTCATTTTTGTATTGTGCTTCAAGTGCTAAAGCCTCTGAACCAACAGTAAATATATTATCCGAAAGGAAAGAGCCAGGGGAGTATGTCCTGATGTCCAGAGGTGGCAACCCTACATCTGAACCAATGCATACTTACATGAAAGTGAGCTCCACCAAGCAAACATGCACAGGAACAGACTGTTAATACTTCACACAGAATACATGAGCATAATTATTTATATTAATCAGTTCAATTAAATAATTTTATTTAATTCTTAAATAAACAAACAGAATTCTGGAGAGCCAAAATATTAGCTGTGGGTTTTTAATAAATAATATGCAATACATTTGAGTATAATTCAGCATGATGCCTGTTATCCCTTATTTCCACACATGGAAATAAACTAGTTACGTTACTGTAGCAGGATTAGGAGGGAGGGGCACGTTGAAGGTGCCTTGTTCCATGTAAAACGTGAGAGGAAGCAAGCTCACTCAGCAGGTCCTTACAGCTTCTGTCAAGGTGGCGTTGCCCAAAGCATCAAAGCCCTCTCCTCGCCTGGACTCTTCCTTGTCCCTGGTTCTAAGGCAAAGAACGCCACTGCCCCTAGAGCAGCGGGGAGCTATGTTTCTTGGGTCTGCCCTTGCTGCTTCTGTCTGCCTGTCTGTGTGTTGTGGCAATGCCCGCCGTTTCTAGCCTTCTCCCAAAGGCGGCTTTTGTACATCTCCTTGTTCTTCCCTTCCCTCCTCTGCACCTTTGCTCACTCTCTCCTCCTCTGCCCACCTCCTCCTGTTTGTCTCATCCCTGCCTTTATCCCCGCCCCCCCCCCTGCAGTTGTCCCTGCCCCGGCCACCAACCCTGCACAGCTGTGCATGTGCCCCCCCCCCCACAGAGTCCCACACCCTGTTCCTCCCAATTAGATTCCCAGCCATGCCCCGTCATCTTTGGCCACTCTCCGCTGGCTGCCACAGGAAGATGAGTGAGCACCTCCACCTCCTGACAGTTATACAATTCAAGATGAACAACAGAGGCAAACACTGTCTTTTACCAATTGTTTCAATAATGACATTGCTAAAGATAAACTTTAGATAAGTACTGTGACATATTGCACAGAAATGTTATATTTACCATCCTGAAAGACTCTCTCCACATTCAGTCCATAGGTAGCACAGGTTTCATAGTATGTACATCTCTTCAAATCATTTGACAGTTTCCGTGCTCTCGCATCATCAATGACACGAGGGTTACTGGAACTTATAGCATCTATTAAAAATACAGAAATACTGTTGTTGTCATTGTTGTTGTTGGTATTATTAGATATAGAAATAAAAGAACTAAATACAAAAATATTCTACTTGGAATAAGAACCCCTTTAGATTTGAATACAATGAATTTGGAAACAGTATTTTGCCTATATTTAACTGTGCAAACAAACTATCTTTAGGTAGTATTTTCTATGAACAATTCTATATCCATCCAGCTTACCAGTTTTTTCTCTTTTAGCCCCCTTGTCTTTCCCATAACAGGACTAAATCCAGTAACAGTGATATATAAATGAGACTTCTGTGGGCAAAATAAAACTTGGCATCACCAGGCTATCTGTCTTCTACTCCTTTAGGTACAAAGAACTTGAAGCTAATTTGCCAGCGCCCCCCCCACCCAAAACCTTTACAGCATCACACACTAACATCTTAAGTGTGAGCATTATAGATAGATTACACAGCCAGTAAATCCCCAGAACACACAAGGGCTAAAACTGGGACTGGACCCTGCACGCTGCATGCTTGTCTCACTCCCAAGGTTCCAAGGCCCACCAGTCCTGCCCCTTCAGATTCCTGATTTTGCCCTGTTGAATGCAAAGGTCTACAGAGACTTTTCCTCACATTCATTTGAACATAAACAGAACTTTGTGCAGAGATGGGGACTCTGGGGTTCCTGATTGTTTGGAGAGTTTTACTTACTTTGAAGCAAGCATAAGTGGTTTTATTTATTTATTTAAAATTATTTTAGGCTACATTTAAGGATATCACCTTTTCAAGACAAGAGTACAGGATAAAACGAATTAAAGGCCATATAAATAAGCAATACACAAATATACAATAAAATACTATAAAGTACAATAAAAGCAGATTTATTTCTCTCATGCCACACCCTATGACAATAGGACCTGCAGCCCACAGATAATGAAAAAGCTAGTGAAAATAATAAGTCTTCAGATCCTTCCTAGAGATGCAAAGAGGCGGCTTGACAAACCTTGAGAACAACTCCCAGCAGACTGTGCTATTCAACAAAGTAAGGCTGGGGATCCAGAGATTGCATAAAGGGAGCTAAAACTGAACACTTGATCTTACTTCAAAAGCTCCTCAGCAATGAATCCCAACAGGATAAGCAAGGGAACTACAAAGTTAATAGTTTCTTTTATAATATGGGTGTGGCATAAGAGAAATAAATCAGTGTGGGTTTGCACATTATGAGCAAATGAAAAATGGAGATGTTCCACGTACATAATTCCCCTAAAAGAAGGAATTTGACACACATACCCTTTCTAATAGGAGATGAGTCCATTCTCACCGTAAGACAGTTCAAGCATCTCCCCTTGCATGGCACCCAAGAATGAAACAGTTGGCTGGGCTATGGAGATAATTAATGAGCCCTTGGGAAAGGGAGTGGTCCCAAGCCTCTGGAAGTGGCAGCAGTGAAACCACACCTGAAGAAACTCTCCCTAGACCTAGAAGATCTTTAGTGGCAAATGCTCCTCTCCAGGGCAAGGTTCTGGACAGGTGATGACCAAGCAGTTACAGACACTGTAACATATGAACATATTTCAGCTGGTATTCCAGCTGTGTTTTGTCACAGAAACAACTTTGGCCACTCAGTACAATGACAAATGGTGGGAAAGAGATAGGGTGACTGTGACCCCGTCAATACTTCTGCTCTTTCAGAGTGCTCCTGTGTGACTGACATGATACCCATCTGACCTGACACTGGCTGCTATTTCATTGCAATTGTTCTGCTCCTACATGGATGGATGGCATGAGAAAGTGGTACTTGGGGAACACTAATCAGCCACATGGAATCTCCAGCATGAGGGTTCCCCAGGGTTCAAGCTTCGACCAACATGCAATTCAACAAGAATCTGCAACTGCTGAGATGGGTTATCTGGTGTTTTAGAATACACTGTGCTCAGTAAGCTGATGACACATAGCTCTATTTCTCATTTTCATCTTCAATAAGTGAGGTCTGTAGATGTGCTAAACTGGTTCCTGCCTGCAACTGGGGTTCAGTTCAGGCAAGACGGAGATGTTGATAGTAAGTGCCTCTTTTAACCAGAAAGGTTAAGGCATTTAATAGCATTTAAGGGTATTAATGGCACAGTGGGGCATTTATATCTTTTTAACAGTTCTGGTTTGTGCTAAGACCTGTTAGCAGAGTGCTGCTTCAAAGTGTGGGCAGGAGCTAGTTTATACTAAAAAACAAGAAGTCTATCTTAACAGCTCTTTACCATTTCATTATTCACTGATGCCAAATTCAACCTGTTACCTTTTTTACATGGCCATAAGAGACAATCTGAACCAAGTACAGTTTGACAAATACAATGATGGGAACAACTAATTTGTTTTTAATATGATACTATTCAGGACTGTTGATTTATCCAGAATGAGATTTATCATATATTAACCTTTACTCAATTTTTACAATTCACAGAATCATATAATAATTGGAAGAGGCCAGCAGGGCCCTTGAGTCCAACCAATTTAGCTAGAACATTTAATTCTATTTTGTTTCATAGAATCCCCAGTATTCCTATCCTGTTAAGACTGAGTGCAGGTGATTTACTGAATAAGATTGTCTTAGATGAAGAGTTCAAAAATAGGAGTCCCATCTGCTGCTGAGTCAACAGACTGTAAATTTATCACTGTGAAGAGCTTGTATTTCCTCAGATAATCTCACTGCAGGATATGAAATGTACCACACTCCTACAATTGAAAGCACTCAAGAGAAAGCTCAAAATTAAAGAATCGTGTTTCAATTTCAGCAGGAGCATATTTTCTCCTCATTAAAGATTTCATAACTTCAAGTCTGCTGTCCAAGCAGAATCAATTATAAAAATGTGGAACAACCATTTAAAAACAAACATGATTGACCATTTATTAACCTAAACCTGTTCAAGTATGCCTGACTTAAAGGTCCTCATTTAATGCTAAAAGAAGCTGTAACAACGAAGAGACCCAGTTTCATGTAGTCCAATACATTTTTGTCTCTAATAACTAACTGCAGAAACGCAAAATTGAAACTACTGCCCAGTATTGCTCACTGTTACCTTTAGCCTAAGACCAAACAGATGAAAAGAGGAAAGAACCAATTCTTAGCTGCGGCTCAGGAGTACAGAGTACATGCTTTGTAAGCAGAAGGTCTCTGGTTCAATAGCTGGCATCTCTAGACACTGGGAAAAACCTACTGCCTGAAGCCCCTCCCTGGAGAGCTGCAGCCAGACAGAAGGACTCGGGGTAAGCAGCTTCCTGTGCTCCTACGAGCATGCAGAAAGTGGGGGGGGGGGGTCCCCATGACATTCCATGCCCCAAGGAGGATATGTGTATTTGTGGCTCCTCTACCACTGTCACACTCCCTCCACCTTCAGTTCTTTGCACCACTTCAGCCAAAGACTTGATGTTATGCATCTGGATTAAACATGGCTCATGACTTAATCTCTGTGTCTGAAACTCTAGGCATGCCTTGAGAAAGTGGAAGGTACAGTGGAAGGTATTATAGACAGAAGGTATGACAGAAAGATCACCTACAGTTTTTCTTTAAAAAATGGAACAACTGCCTCCATTTTGTTCTAGCTGAAAGTTTCACAGGTTTGTATTAAGTTGCCACGATTCCTCTATGTGAGCAGAATAAACTTCTTTCACATAGGAATCCCCCATCTGAAGTCTTCCCTGTATCTTCAACAATAATTGATGAGACCCTCCGGATTAGGGACCCTTTTGCAAGTGACACAGGGTTGAAAAGTATGGCACATCTGGTACCACTACAAACACATGATCTAATAGAACTGTAGCACAGAAAGTGCGAAATGCAAATACAATTCCATATATTTGGCAATGAAGATTCCCAAGTATTCAATACTCTGTAAGGTTACTGCCAGCATGGGATAAGGAACTCCAGAGATGGTTTATCAACTCACCATCCTCCTTATGGCCTTTTAGCCCATCCTCCTGTGCGGAGGATTTGAGCTGCTGAGGCAGGATTGGAAAGGCCACAGGATGGAGGGACGCAGGCCTCTTGCCTCCCTTCCCACTAGAAAGCCCCCCTTTGCCTCCCTCCTAAGCCACATTTGGGACTTTAGGAGCAGACAGTGTCCTTCTTTCTGCAACAGCAGCAGGGGCTCAGACTCCAAACAATCAGCAGTGTTTCAGACTCAGAAAGGGGACCCCAAACAATCCTAAGCACTCTGAAATATATATCAAAGACCTTCCCCTTTCTGTTTTATTCATGTTACCAAAACATTACTGAATTAGATGCGATTAGGAATCAGATTATTTTAGGAACCTGATTTTCAACAATTCAGCAACCTCCTATTTTTCCTCCTCGATCTGCTAAGCTTTTTTTTTTTGGGGGGGGGGGTACCCATATATCATTTAATATAATAAAATACCTGACATGGTACAAAATAAGTATGAAAAATCAAATTAAATTCTACAATTAAAAACTATTTCAATCATAGTAACAAGTATATACTGTATGTTTGTATGTATACATGCTCATACTTTAACAAAACACAGCAATACTGTTAAGGAATAATAGACATAATTAGGCATAATTTAAAAAGGAACTCAAAGAAAATGAAAATTTAAAGAATTAGAAGAAACTGAAAATACAGTTGACAAATGATATACTGCATATAGTTCCAGCCACCAGACCTCAAAAAGGATATTGTAAAGGTAGAAAAAGTACAGAAAAGGGCATCTAAAATGATAAAAGGGCTGATACAACTCCTGACGTGTTACACCCGAGATGTGCCATACTTTTAGCTCTTTTACATTCTTAACACAAACCACACTTAGACTATACTATTAAAATAGTTTCTACTACAATAACAAGACAAAAGAACATTTGAGTAGTATTTGAAGATAAAGTATTAATCAAAAGTAAATATTTTGTATTGCTTTTACACATAGAACAAATAGTGTCAGAAATAATGTATATGCATACACAATGAGGCAAGATCTGACGGTGAAAGTTACTAATTTATTCTTCTA